AATTATTGATTATCTCCACTGTAACTTTATTTCACCTCCTGGTTCAGATTTCTCTGCAAAATGGACCATACCTATAGGTTAGCAGCTGTGACTGAGTGGGTCAGGCTCCTATCCCTGGATCTGAACTCCCTCTCCTTGCTATTTGTGAACATCATCTGGCGGTTAGCACTGAGGGCACACATTGCTGTCTTGTAGTAGGCCCTCTGTCTTGTAGGAAGATGCTAGCGCGCTGCTCAAAGAGGGGAGCCCTATCCCACATCCCTCCTATGCTGGGCCAATAATTTATCCCTCTTCCAACATTATATAGGGTCAGTGCTTCCCACCCTACAACAGGGACTGCACGTCCAGAGAGTAGAGGTTGTAAATCACTTTGGGATATCCTGAAGTCGCAAAAGGCGTTATATAAATGAACGTCCTCCCATTCATAAATCAGCGGATGGAGTCCACGCCACATCTCCTCCTGGCTTGGGACCAGGTACATCACTTAGAATTGGATATTCGCAATAATATTACACAGACACAGAACAATTCTTTGTCCCAGACCTGTAAACTTTTATTCTCTTTTAAAAGCAATCCCCAACCCCCCGGCAAAAAGGAATAGATGGAAAGAGAGACACACAGACAGAGAAAATATTTTCACTTACCCAGTGCACAAAGGAGAGATTGTCTCAAGCTCATGGTTGGGATGCAGAGAGCGAGACAGAGAGTGTGATTTTGTTTCCTTTTTCCCAGCCCCTCCTCTGCCTTCCTCTTCCTCCGAAGGAATGGAATTCTCTGGGAGGTTTCTTGATGAGGTTCCTTTATCCTTTAGGGAGAAAATGCAGCCCTCCCCTCTCCCTTACTGTCCTCGCCTATGACAGACACAACAATTGCACCAAGGCTGTTTGAGCAGGTCCATCTCACACAGTAACAGAAATCGCAGCCTTTTGCAGGCACAATCAATGAAAATTACATGCAATTAATTTCACAAAATGCAGCTCTTTTAACTAGACCCTTGCCTTTCCCTTTCCCTCTGTTCACTGCTGCAGTATATTTTTAAAAACTATTGCAAATAAGTTGCCATCTTCCGTCCTCCCCTTCTCCCCTACACGGTGAGTTTGCGAGCTCCTGTCAAATTTCTGTTCTCGGGGAGACAGACTGAAAAGCAGAATAAAAATCTCACTGATCATTGCGCAGTGTCTGTTCTCCAGGCCAAATTCTACCCGCTTCTGGGTCCTACCTTCCGCCCGCTGTTCCCAGGGAGATGGATGACCCCGCCTCATACAGAGGCGAGCAATGACTGACAGAAATAAAAACGAGAGTGCTGGAGAAACTCAGCAGACCAGGCAGAAAGCAGAGTTAACGTTTTGAGTCTGATATGACTTTTCTTCAGAACTCAATAACTTTCCAGAGTTGTCACGTTAGCGCCTGGTTGTTCCACCTTACTCTCTCCCAGCCTACCCCCACTCACCCTCCTCCACTCCCTCCTCACTCACTCTCTCCACCCAAACCCCCACTCCCCCTCCCCTCGTCCAACCCCACTGTCTTTCCAACCGCAACACCCCATCCTCATCCCTTCATCCTCACTCTCTCCCCTCTTTCACCCCTCAATCTCTCCCCACTCCACACCCAACTCTTCCTCCTTCACCCCCCACTCTCTCTCCTCCTCCACCTCCTGCCTCTCTCCCCACTCCACACCCCACACCCTCCCTCCCCCCCCCCCTCCACACCCTCCCTCCCCCCCCCCCTCTCTCCTCCTCCACCTCCTGCCTCTCTACCCACTCCAAACCCCACAATCTCTTTCACCTCCCTCCTTCACACCCCACTCTCTCTCCTCCTCCACCTCCTCACTATCTCCCCTCCAATCCCTTACTCTCTCCCCTCCTCCACCCCTCCCCACTCTTCCCCCTCATCAGCCCCCACTCCACCATTTGGTTTCTATTTAGAAAGTGATCCAGTGTCCCAAAGTCAAAACCTTTCCCATGCACTCAATAACTGCTTCAACAAGCAGACAACTGAACACATACAGAATGAGGCCATTCAACCCCTCCTGATCATGCTGGTTCATTGAAAAGGTTGTGCCCTTTTCCGACAGCCCTGTCCTCCTTCAATTCCCTTTCGAAAGTCAACAGCTTGCATCTTAAAACATATTTTTCAGCATCTCTCCCTTCTCTGGCTTTATTCAGACAGGTATTTTAGATCTCTGCACTCTGGTTACTGAGCTCCTCACAGCTTTCAGCAACACTTTTGCCTGGTGTATTCTCTCAAAACTTCAAACACCTCTATGCAATCTCACTTTAGCCTCAACTGCCAGTGATGAAGAAAAACACAAGTGTTTTCATGTCTCCTTCACTGTGGTCATGATGCATTAAATCCAGACTCTCACTGGTGTCTATGAGTGACTGGCAGGACTCAACCATTGGGACTGGTGCATCGTTCCCAATCAGCTGAGGCTGGCTGGGTAGCACTTGCACCTTTGAGTTTGAAGCTTGTAGCTTCAACCTCACTCCTCAGTCTTGACCACATCATTGAGACTCACACTCCTGTGCTGTACTGGAGGAGTGCTGTACAGTTTTACGGGGTATCTTTTGAAGTGTGAGCTATCTCTGCTCACCATACCTCCCCTTAGACAGATGTAAAAGATCACACATTATTTCAAGCATGAACAGAGGTGTTCCCTCCAGTCTCCTAGCCATTATCCAAATCATATTGTCAGCTCATTATCTTAATTCTGTGTGTGGGAGCTTGCTGTGCATAAATTGACTGATGTGTTTCCAACAATAACTGTGCTTTGAAAACTGTGAAGCAACTTTAGACATCCTGAGGTCATAAATGTCATGTTTTAGTTGAAAGATATTAGTTAATGAAGGTGCTGTGCATTTGGAAGTAGCTACAGTCCCTTCTCTCTCACAATCCCTTTCTCATCTCTCCCTGCTTTGAGGAAACCACCATGCTCCATTCTTCTCTCTCGATCCTCCTAAGATGTAAATACAACATCCTACACATTCCCTCCTCTCTCACTGCACTGACTCATCCCACCACCTCCTGCTCTAACTCACACTTTCCCGGGGCTCATTAAAACTATGATGTTCCATAAATATCTCAGGCACCCCTTTCCGAAAACCCAGGCTTGGTGCCAACTAACATCAATGCCCCGCATATTCTACTCACAACAGTGGAATATTCTGCTTTCAACACTGCATTGCTCTGCGTAAGAGCTGGTACTCTGCTGCAGTATTGAGGGAGTGCCACGTTCTCAGAGGTGTTGTTTTGTACATTCAGCATTAAACCAAGGTCCTATTTGCTTCCTCCAATGGAACTAAAAGATTGCATGGCACTAATCTGAAGAAGATTGGGGTGGCACGGTGGCTCAGTGGTTAGCACTGCTGCCTCACAGCGCCAGGGACCTGGGTCCGATTCCAGCCTTGGGTGACTGTGTGGAGTTTGCATGTTGTCCCGTGACTGTGTGGGTTTCCTCCGGGTGCTCTGGTTTCCTCCCACGGTCTAAAGATATGAACGTTAGTTGGATTAGCCATGCTAAATTGCCCGTAGTGTCCAGGGATGTGCAGACTAGTTGGGTTAGCCATGGGGAAATGTAAGGTTATGGGGATAGGGTTGGGGGTGTAAGGTCTGGGTGGGATGGTCTTTGGAGGGTTGGTGTGGACACCATGAGCCAAATGGCCTGCTTCCATACTGTAGGGATTCAATGAAGAAAAGGCCAATATTTATCCCCAATTATTACCTCTTGAACTAGCTCTATCCTGGAGACCTGGGCTGACTGTAGCAATTTGTGACTCACTTGAATTGTCTCAGCTTCACCCCTCACCTTATCGAGTCCACTTAGTAAATCATCAATCACAGTTTGAGTGATTGCAAGAACTAAAAGTAACAACAGAATGGGGACAGGTAGAGGCCATTCAACCCCTTGAGTCTGTTCTGAAAGGTTTGAATAATTCTTCCCCGTGATGCCCATTAAAATGAGTGCATTGTCTGTATATGCAGTACAACAAGGGCCCAATTATTCCTTTCCTTAGGAAAAACACACCAACATTGGTTAGTTGCTGGCCAAATAAATTGTGTTTATCTGAACTCATGAAAGGATGGCCATCACTAGGACACCAAGGAAAATCCGCCTGTTCTTTGTGTGATCTGTTACATCATATCCAAAACACGAAACTCATTGACACTTCAGGACCGTCAGCCTAGATTTTACTCACAAGTCTCGGGAGTGATACAATGGATGCATGACTTTCTGCTTCAGAGGCAAGAGAGCTACCTCCAACTGAGGTAGAAATCAGTGCCTATTGAATCTAGATAGGAACATGGAGAGGTCAATTCTTTGATCTGCCAAGTTCGTGGCAAAAAAAAAGTCCAGCACTTTGACAATGTCCTACAGGCAGTCGAACCTCTTGGAAGAATCAATAGGCAGACTCAGCCAGGATCAAAGTTCTTGGCAGAGGTTTTGAGTTCCAACAAAGAGTTCCATTGATGGAGCCTATTGCTGGCTAACAGCCTGCAAGGCAGGAATTCTCCCCACTGACGTGTGTGCATGCACACTCTCTCTCTCTCTCACACACACACACACGCAGTTCAACTAAATTGCCAGCAGACATACAGCCATCCTTGTTTTAGGCCAGTCTTGACATAATTGGTGAAACTCGTATTGCAATTTATGTTCTCAAGCTTCACTCTGCAAAGCACAAATTTCCCACATGTCCTGTGGAATTAACATCAATACACTGGTTATTGCCCACTGCCAAGCCTCCCAGTAAACAGTTTTAGCTGCTTTAAGGTAAAGACCAATGGAATATTTAACACTGCCAGGATGATCAGTCTAGTGTGGAATAAATAAAAGGTACCAACAGGAGCGAGGAGTACCTCCTAACTTGCAAAAATGTGATTCACATCTCAAATGTCCGCATTGTTGAGGGGTAATTTGTCCCTCTTTTTTTTTTCTCTCAGGTTGGACGAAGAAGAGGAAGGGTCTTTGCAGAAAGTCAATCTCTGGTAGATCGACCAGCTGGATGCTGGTCAGCTCTGGCTCAATGTGTACAGTATGACATAATGCCTGGGTGCCACTCACTGGTGGCTTATGGTTTGGGTCGTGTGCTGCTACCAATCCTCCTTCCAATGCCAGTCTAAAGCTTATTCAGCAGTCAGTAGTGGAGGATGGACCACGGATAAGTTTCAACAGAGAAGACTCCCATCTTTCTTAATAAGAATAGTTTATTACATCTCATTAACCGTATACAGATGATATTAATTCTTTGACACATTAACTCTAGTAGGTAGAGAAGACATGTGTCTCGGTTGGGAGACTGTGCCAGATTCCAACTGACTCCCAACCCAGAGGCTCTTTAACATCATTGTGGAGCTCAGCATAGCTCAACCATTAACTCTTTCAGAACCGTTACCTGATTCAATAAATGAGATCCATTGTCACCTCTGAGTCAGATGATTATGGGATTTAGATCACAGACTTGTATATAAAAATCCACATTGATATGAGCGTCAGTACTAAGGAGTACTGCACAGGAGGAGGCACCAGCTTTTAAATGAGACATCAGCTATAAGATCAAAAGACATTGGAGCAAAAGTTGTTCATTCAGCCCATCAAGTCTACTCCACTATTCAATGAGATCGTGGCTGATCTCATAATTCTCAACTCCATCTTGCCTTTTCCCCATAACCCTTGATTCCTTGACTGATTGAAAAATGTCTCTCCCAGTCTTGAATATACTTAATGACCCTCTCAAATAGGCATAAATTTTCTGGTGATAATATTCTGAAGAAGGGTGTTCTGCTCAGTGTTAGATGAGATACAAGATCCTGAGGGGATTTAACACAGTAGATACTTGAAGGATATTTCCTCTTATATGGCGACCAGAACTAAGGGACACTGTTTGAACAAAGGAAGTCTTTCTTCAAGATGGAGATGAGATTTTTTTCTCTCAAACAGTTGTCTACTCTTCCCCAGAATGTCTTCTCTCACTTCTGAAGATAAAAAAACAATCCACACCTAGATGCAAGATGTGGTCAACGGTCAGGTTTGGGCTGATCAGTGACAAGAAAGAAAGTGACAGGAAATGACCATTTGCAACGTGACTGTCTGAAAATATCTTTCAATGACACTGCAATTGTTGG